TCTTCGAGCAACATGAACTGACTGGACTTGGTATAACATAAAATGACTAAATACATGAAGTTTGCTTGAGAGATTTGGATCAACCATGAACATGACTTGGCATAAGCTATATGCACGGCCGAATGCAATACACGGCTAATTTACAAACTTGAACCTAAAGTTTTAAACTGAAAAGAAGCAACTAACATCAAGATTACTCTCATAAGGAGATTACCTCCTTAGCAGCTTGAATGCTAGTAGCCCTTCCGTGAACTCCTGTGCGTGCGCGAGCTCTCGGGCGTGCGTGCAACTAGGCTCCGTGTGCGGTGCTTGCGGTGCCCTCATCAAGGTAAGCTCCCTCTCTAATCTCACTGTACTAAGTATAATATGATCTAAGATGAGGAAAACCAAAATTCTCCCCAACCCATAAAATATATATAGAACCGAAAATAAAGGGGGAAATTAGATTATGGGCTTCCCAAAATATGCCACATGTTGCTTAATCACCTCTTAATGAGGTTAGTCACCACTAACTCACTCAAATGATGCCACCTCCTACTTAAGAAAGGGAGACAATATCCTCATTTTCTCCACAATAAACCTTACGGCCTTTTAAGGGAAAATGATCAACTTATAAAATAATGCACACGGCCCTAACTAATTTAAACATGATAAATCTCAATTAAGCATAATCTATATGCTTAATTATCTCACTAACACTAAACATAATCCCCAAAATATTCCGAACGTAAACGGGACATCGAAAATAATTTTGGGTAATCTCGACTGAAAATAATTTATTCCGAAAAATAATAATAATCGACAATATTATTATATCGGAACTAAACACATGATTTATACTATTAACATGACGGAATATTCCTGACTGAATAATTAATTCTGAACTCATTAATTAAATAAACGAATCAGAATTAAATCTGGAAATTTAGTCGGTTACTTAAATAATTAAACCGAATAATTTATCGACTAATTGTTGAACTTGGAATATAACTAACTGATTAACCTGAACTTGAACATGAACATGATTATTCAGTAATAAAGGCTAGCTCAACATTAAAAGCTAGTATTTTCCTTTATTACTAAAACTCGGGGTGTTACAATCCACCCTCCTTAAAATATTTCCGTCCTCGGAAATACTAAAACTGGACGTACAAGCTTAACATAAAGCTTATACTTACTGATTACATGACTTGAGAATTCAGTACTTTAATACTGAATAATGGATTTGATCTGAACTGAGGAGTCATCAATTCACAATTAAGTGAATTGCTAGATACTGCTGACTGAGAATGGACACTTTCCTGAAATAAAGTGTTCCACTGATTATACATGATCTCAAAACGTAATTCTTGAGCGTACTAGTCATCATTTCCTGGCTGCTTGCTGATCTTCGGTCTGAACGCTGGTTGTGGAAAACCCCAGTCATTGGTACACACGGAAAATTTCAGAGATACGCACATGTACAAATGAGGATAACTAGCAATATCGATAGTTACCTTTCGTGAACATCTACTCAACAACGCGGCACATCGTTCGCGGAACATCGTAATGCGGTACACCTACTCCTCATCAAGTGAGTGCGGCACGCCTGCATACAGCACCTAGCGAACATTGCACCTGCGTTGTCGACGTAGTCTGTATAACTGATCATATCTGTACCTCAAGCTAGTAACCTCAATGTACTATAATGCTAACTCTCTGTGATTTCTCAGAGTACCGTGACTCAGGCATGGCATCCTTCTCTTCTTGCGACATGCATTCTTGAATGGAAATCTCCGGTTGTCACCACGGCATTGGTTATTGCTGCTGTTGATTGGCCCTTCTCCGTCGTGTCTTATGTCGACATGCTGTACCTGCAACTGTGTACCTTCCCTGAGGTTAAACTTAACCTCACGAAAAATTTATCATGAACTAATCTTTCCTGCAATTTCTCAAATTTTCAAAATTTGAGAATCGAGGCACTGGTTATACTTGATTTGATTGATAAGTCTTATCTTATTAGACAGACTATCCTTGATCTTGACATGACTGGCCTGAATATTCAAATAACTGAATAATCATGACTTGACTTTTACATGACTGAGTCATCTTTACCTGAACTCTGAAGCTATCCTGAGACAACTAAATAGTCGCCTCAGAATTTGGAACATGACAGTTACTGATATACTTGACTTGATAAGGTACGACTTCAAGTTTCCAGGTAGAATTGGATTAATAGTCTGTATTACAGACCTCCATATTTAACCCGGCTGAACAACTATTATACGTCGACCTTAAATCATGAACATTAACTTTAAATCTTGAACACGGACTCATGACTATGTACTATATAGGGCTGTTCCAGTATCAACTGGTCCCGCAAGTACAAAGGAATTAACTGATCTTGATCTTTGAAAACCTTAACTTGAAGTATCCTGACTGACAAAATACATGACATGACTGACATTAAATGTTGTTATCACATGAAATCATATTACTCCGGTCCCGCTTCAAGCCTCCATGGCATACCCGGCTGAGTGGCTCTTATTTCAAGCCTCCATGGTAACCCGAACTATTGACTCTTATACACTAGAAACCGTTACCTTAACAATGACTTGAGAATTATAACAACCTTAGCATGAAAATTTTTGCCCTGAACTTGATTTACTGATCTGACTTAGGAAATTTGAGTCTATTCCTCGAATTGAATCAAGGAATTCCTTCCTGGAGTCTGCCAATTGATTCGCAAAATGGCAATTTTTGATAGAAAATATCTGAGGAACGTGATCACTAAAATTTGTATAACACAAGTGTTTACAAATCTCCTGACAAGTTACTAACTTGACTTGAATATATCTAGAATTGAATCTAGAGTTTTCAGCTTATCCCCTTTCTAAAGTTCTGAATTCTGATTCGAACATCCTTACTGATAACATTTGGAAGTTGATCAGTAAAGCGCACAAATTTCTTGACGAGTTGCTAAACATGACTGGGGAATACTGACTCTAAATTTTGAGTATACTGACTACTGATCCTGAACTTGATTCGAGCATCTTAACTAAATCATAACTGAGAAATTTCTGAGCATAGACATAGTAATTTGTTTATAACTTAAAACATAAATCAGCACTTACCTGTAGTCGGCGAGGCGTGAGCATGACGGTTCAGGTTTTCTGAAAAATTTCTGACTTGTAAATATTTTTAGAGACGCAGAAACGTGCTCTGATTCCATTTGTAACACCCCGCTATTTCTGAAATCAGAGTACGCTTTTTCGCAAATTTTCTATTTTAAAATAAATAAAATATT